AATGGTGTCCTTAACTCTGACTTTGAAGTGATGCTGAAGGGGTTGCAGGTGACCACGGCAGTTTTCCCTCTCCAAACTGAAAGCCAAGGCGATGGTCACTGTCAGTTGGGTTAAAAACAACAAAAACCAGGCCACAGAAAGACTGTGACTTACTGGAAGCCATGGCAAACCAAAAGCTTTTTACTCAGCAGTAGAACTCTGACTCCCAATATGTTGTGACCTATACTCAAGTAAACCCTGGCTCTTTGACAGGGACTTTCCACAGTGGTTTTAGCCGTTACAGTATTGGAAAGACCCTTGGGATATGGGCTTTTCAGACAAGAAACCTTCTCTGAAAGCAATGCCATGTCTACATGTTCTGGACAGAGTCCAGCAAGAACCAGGGGTGGGGAGAAGAAATCCCTGTTTTGGGGCTCCCAGGGAGGAACCCCAACTTCTTCATAAGGGTTTGATGTACACATAAAGGACATCAGGGTTAGACCTGATGAGTGACAGCAGAGACATAGAGCACAAGGGGCCCACACCACATCGACCAGGTCATTCCCAGTGGGAGGGGATGCCAGAGGGATGAGCCCAAGCCGGCTCCACCAGTGTGGAACAGCCTACTGGGAGAGGAAGGATCTGAGCTGCCCAACATGCTGGGTAAAATGAGAACTGCCCGACCTTGTAGTGCAGAAAGAGCAGGTAAGAGACAATATGGAGAGGATGACTCCATATGGTGACAGTAAATAACACCACCCCACCAAAGAGATATCCCTGAGCTCCAGAGAGACCTGGTGCCCTGCCACCACCACCCTGGGAGGGCCAGTGATCTGCAGGCTCCAGGAGCAAGCCCTTCACATCAGTGCTGGACACTGATCCCACCTTCTCACATGGAGAGTGACAGCAGAGGGGATCCAACTCTCCTCTCCCTGGACACCTGGCTTGGCTCCATCTCTCTCAGGGAGAGATATCCATATCTGACCAAGTCCATGTGTGAGCTCGTCCATCTAGGCACCCTGCAGAGCTGACAGGGAAAGGACAGGGGTACCCTTAGATGGGAATCATCCAGACTTTCCTAGACCTCTACACTGAGGTGCCACAAATCACATCCCAATGTATTCATGCCTCAGCTAGGGCAGGAACCTCAAGCAAGCAATCCATGCACAGGTCCCACCTTTACTCACAGGATCTCAGCCCTCCCAGAATTTTAGGGTCTGACTTGAAAATACTTGTCAGTGAGGAGGGGTCTCAAAGAAAGTAGGCAGAGATTCCTGTAGGTGCCTAAATTCAGGTGGGATCCCAGCCTGATCGGGAATTGTGGTGTTTCTAAGCCTGTTTGGACAGAATCAGGAATACAGTGGTGCTAAGAGGAACACGAACAACTTACAGAGTCTGCCTTTCTCCTAAGGAGCTGCTCCCTTGGTTCTCATCCAGCAAGGAAGCTGGATGACGACTGCAGCCAGAAGAGAAACAAGCAGTTTATTGTAACTGCAAGGATATGACAAAAAGGGTCAAACATCAGTAAGGAAATGGAAGGAGATGAGCTGCAAGGCAGTAAGGTGCCAAACCAAATGATATCAATGCTGCCTTCCAAGTTTATCCCATTACAACAGCAAAGCCCAACATGCCTTTCAAGAGTGCCACACAGCCGGGCAGCGAAGGCACATCCCCAGAGTTCTGAGGAGGGCAAGCCCATCCTGAAGGCAGGAGTCCAGCAAACTGAAAGCCAAACACTGCCAGTCCAGAAACCACTTGGGATATGTCCTAAAACTCTCTGCTCGTGTCTAGCAGCATTCACAGCACATCCCTGTGACATGCAGCCTCCTGTATCCTTCATGAGTTTTACAGGAAGGAGGGGGTTGGATCTTGCCCAGAGAAGCTGTGGCTGCCCCATCCCTGGAAGTGTCCAATCCCAAGGTTGGATGGGACTTGGAGCAACCTGGTCTAGTGAAAGGTGTCCCTGTCCATGGCAGTGGGTGGAATGAAATAACTTTAAGGTCCCTTTCAACCCAAGCCACTCCTTGATTCTGTGATCTTGCAGGACATGACCCCTTAGGCTGTTTTTTCTGGTAAGTATAGAGTGTGCCCAGAGCTTTCAGTCTGAAGCCTGTGCGTAAAGACTGGAGCACTCGGCTATGACACATCCAAGACTGAAAGCCTTCCCAAGCGTTTGCCAAAGGGAGCAAGAGCAAAAGGCACTGACTCAGCCCTCCCTGTGACGTCTTCATGACGTCAAGGTGATTATGTGGTCTCCTTCAACAAACCAGCTGAGGTGCAAATGGAGAAGATGATGACGAGCAGCTCTGCACCTGAGCTGCGCCTCTCTAATGCAGCAAATTGATTCTCTCTGGTGTGCAATAAAGAGCAGTTCTTATGAATGGGGAATATTTATCTTCAAAAGAGTAGCCTTTTGGCAGCACTTTGGTGAATTAGTGCCCAAAATCCAACTATAGACTTTTACGAGTAAGGAGAGATGAAGAGGTTACGGCTCATGAGCTGAGCCAAAGCAATGACCTCATGAGCTCCTAGAGATGAAGTTTTCAAAAATAAAACCTATTTACCAGTAAAAATCAGCATGGCAGATGAGTTTTGAAAAGATGGAAGAAAAGCAGAAGAAAGCTTCAAAATATCAGCTGTGGTGAAGGAATTGTGGAGCCAGATTCACCTGCCTGTGCATGTCCACGAGATGGCAGAGTGGGTTGTCCTGTGAGAGCAACTCCGGGGAGCATTCTCTGATTTCCAAACAAAAGAAGAGGATTTCGGGGACGCTGTTTCAGGGGGTTTTTTGTTTATTTTTTCACCCTTTAATGCCAAACAGTCAGAGGCTTTCCTTGCAATATTTTCTAACATACTATTGATAGATTAGAGTAGCAAAACTCATGTATAGACATATTAACATCCAGATATCCAGAACAGCCTGCTTAGCCCCCAGATACTCAGAATATTCTGTTTAACCTGTTAGGGATGTCAGTGCATCTCTCTGTAGAGATACACATACATGTCTGGATGTATACCTGAGATTAGTTCAAGATTCATGTCCTATGTCTATCATACCTTAATATCAAAGGCACCGAAATCTCCAAGAAGCCTGCAAGTAAGACCTGCTACCTCTCTCAAATATGCTGCTTTTAACCCTTCTACAGCTGCTGAAGTACACTCAGGAACAAAACATTTGCATCCGAGTTGTGCTGGGGGATGCTTGGACCACCCCAGTTGTGACGGAGGATGCTTGGACTGGTTCAGTCACACTGGAGGGTTCTCAGACCACCCCAGTGGCAGTGGAGGATGCTCAGACTGGCCCCCCTGCCTGTGCATGGCTGCTGTAAGCAAGCCAGGAGCTCTTAAACACAGACAGAATAAGAGGTTATATATCTCCAACCTGAAAAGCCTCTCCTTCCTGACACCTAACAAACAAAGCCCCATTATGGGACAACCCCATGGAAGGTTAATGATTTTCCTTCCATAGTCTCACACAAATACTTTCCCTTATGCACCCACACACTGCTCCACAGAGCCATTTCAAACAAGGGATAAAGACCAGAAAAATCTCCGTCAGCGTTGCACGGTTGCATTCAAATCCAGTTAACAATGACATGTGAGGATTAGACCAGCTGTCTGCAAGTATTTCACTTGTCGGCATTAAAAAAGACAAATCCTCACCCAGAACTACCTGGCTCCTAATTCCCACAGACACACATGCCAAGGTAAGCACGTCTCCAAAATAACGCAGCATTGCACGGGTCTGCCCAGGGGCACAAACAAAACACCAGATCCAGCATTCCCACTAGGTCTTCCAGCTTAGAAATGTCACACTAACAGTTAAGCTAAATATTAAGGTATATATTGCAATTAATTCATTGGAGTCGATGGACTCAACCTGGTGTTAGGGCATGATGAGACGATAACCACACCAGGAGGACTCGACTTATTTAATAGCTGTTCATTAAAACCCTCTTGAAGAAAATCAGCTCCTCGCACCAAAGATGGTTCAATTCCTCATTTCCCAATTATTCCCTAGGGAAAACTAACCTTATGTTGCAGAATTACTGGGGTTTGTACCAGCTGAACCTGATGCTTTCTCCCTGTGACCTAAAGTCCAGACACACCAAACATGGAAGAGATGGAGCAGGAAGCAGCTGCAGGGAATGCTCCTCCCTGCCAAAGTCAGCAGCACTTCTCCACTCCTTCCACTACTTTGTGTATTTAGTGCCAAACAGCTCACCCAAAAGAAACAGTAAGGCAGATCATCACATGGTTTGCAGGATGAGCAAAGCTATTCCTCACATGATGCATGAGCAAGAAGCCTGGTGAGCTCTTGGCTCAGCACTGAAAAGGGTAATGCTACCACAGCACATGAGATGTCTCTGTCTTTCCCTCTGCAGGCAGAGATTTCAGCAAAAGTACACCAAACATCCTCAGAACTTGCCCAGGACACTCTTGGAGGACTAGGGCTCTGTAAAATGAAAAATTATACGATGCTGACAAATGGACTTATTCAATCTGACTTTTTAACTGGGGGTCTCACCCTGCCATTCCCCAACATCCAAGCGTCAGACTGGGCCGTAAAGAGAGATCTGGAGAAGGAATAGGCCGGAGAAAGCACACACATGGATTATCATGGCATGTAAACACAGGCACATTCCAAAAGGGAAACACCTGGGTCAGCACACCAGCACTGCTGGCTTCCTGGTAGCAATTTATTTTGGAGCTGTTGGGAGGATTGATGCTTTTCAGAATCTCCCTTTCTAAAGCACACGAGTCCTGTGTACATGTACATATGTATATGTATATATACATATCCTGGCCTCAATATATCACCTCCCAACAAAGTCTACATGGCAACTGCCCTTGCCCAGCACTAACACCCGAAATCACAGGCACCAATCTCCCTCCCAGCCCCCAAAGGACCAGTGCTCAGCAGCTTTCCCACTCCTGAGGGGGGTTTCCTAAGGAAACACAAGGCAGGGAAGGCAGTGCTGGTCTCCACTGTAGCATGGGCAGATGTCCTTGTCACCTACCTGCCACACTGGGAGGACTTTCTCTATGTCGTTCAAGTTGATGCTGTCACCATCCTCGTATTTCCCTTTTCCAAGCCTGTGGCAAGAGGAAAACAAACAAAACCACGTGAAAACTCGCTGGAGACACAGCTAATTGTCTATTACGGCACATGGGGAAGATCAGTTCTTACTGCAAGGGACCCTTGTGAAAACAAAGAGGCTCTCTGAGGCGAGTATGCTGTGCCTCCGAAACACTCCCACGCGGGTGCAAAGCTGTTAATACAAAATTAAATGCTTTTCCCAGTCCTCTCCACCTGCACCATCTGCCACAGCGCTCAAACACTCTTGGTAGTGGCAGCAGTGAGAAAACCAAAGGCAGTCCTGAGCAGTGGTGTTGGGTTACTCGATTCCCAGACCAAGTAAAACTGAAAGCGCAGCCCACCTGGACAGAAGAAAAGTGAGGACACGAAAAAGTAATGAAAGACGTTTCCTTTGAAGCACTGCTCATTTGTTGGTCTCCACAGGAGCTCCAGTTCCCCTGCTGAGAAAGGTGTCAGCGAGCAAGCACAAACATACATCTCAGACAGCAAACAGCAAGCGATATAAAACATAAACAGACAATTTGGGAGACAAAAAAATTGGGGTGAGAAGCCAAGCACTCACACACCAAACACAGAGCTGGCAGCTGAAGGACTTTCTTGTATTAAGAAAGGAAAAAAAAACAATCCAAAGGTAACTACTAGCTGGATGCAGAGAGTTTGTGATGACATAGAAGAAGAAAAAATGATCAGTAAATATTATCCTTCTACATTTATAAACAACTGAGATGATCTTTTTTATTATGCAAGAACGATAATGTATTTTTTTGTCAATTAGTGATGAGGCATCGTTGAATAAGATACATTAGGAACTTTGGTACAGCAGATGCAGGTAATCAGCGCTTAGAAGTCAGAGAAAAACAGATTTTGGTGGACTTGGAGCAAATGCAGAAAAAAATTTAAAAAAATAAGCATGTGTTGAAGTGCCAGGCTTAAGAAACAGCAAGTGGAAGGCAAACAATTTAATTAACCTTGGCTGATTGGAGCAACTTGGTCTAATCAAAGGTGTTCCTACCTATGGTAGAGGGGTTGGACCAGGTGATCTTGAAGGTCCCTTCCAACCCAAACCATTCTATGATTCTATAGTTACAGGAAATCAAGCGTTCAACAATTGACTTTCCACCATAGATGAAATCCTGACTTTGAGTTACAAAGGGAAAAATATAGTGTGTCTACATACACAAATACAAATACATACATATAAGCATTGATATATATATATATATATACATTTATACATAAGAGAAAAATGTCAAACATTTGGGGACAAATAATACCAGTTGCTGGTATAGAATGGGCAAGTGTATCGTAGGAAAAGGTTATCTGAAAAGGATGGGGACTGTTCCAGGCTGAATTTCTGATGCTAAACTGTGGCATAAAGGCAGGGGATGAGGAGGAGGCAGGGCTTAGGGGGTTGAAGGCAGCTTTCCTCTAGAGACAGAACGGCTGAGCCTGATCTACAGGACCACAGGAAGCACTGGCAGTCACATTTCACTGAGGTGGTAGAGGAATTTCTCAGACTACCAGAAAAACTAAAGGCTTGAGAGATACCTGGAATGAAGAGGAAATATCAGCTACAAAAGGTTGTTTGATCTGGAAGAGTAAAAGCAGAGCAAGAGATAACACTGGAAATTAAAGCCAGACAATTTCAGGTCAGAAACGAGTCAGGTCAGTACAGTTCCTCAGCTTTGCTTAACCACTCCACTTCGATTATTCAGCAGACTACCAAACTGCATCTTCCAATAAAATCCATGTCTTTCTGGAGGAAAACACTTCATCCAAGCAAAAGTCCCTTGAGGTCAAATAACTGGATGCAACTATATGGCCAGCCTTGGGGAAGAGATCAGACTAAGGAATAAAATTGTCCTTACAATAAAATTGTACTTACAGTGTTGAAAACACAGCTGAACAGCATATGCCTTTTTTTATTTCCCCTATTATTTTTTTCATTGCACAGATACATTGTTAAAAAAGCTTCCCATTCAAGCCAGAGAGAAAATGCCTAGCTAGCAGGTGGAGATTCTTGGAGGTTCAGCAAGCTGAATTGCACTCAGCACAGATTTGGCATAGAGCGCTGATGAATGCACAACATGGCCAACTAAGAGCTAAAAAATAAAACAAATTTTGTCTGTGCTTCCTCTGTTTTAGCCAAGTTACTTAGATGACCTGCATTTCTGGGAGATGCACTGCTTGTGCTGACAGCATCTGTTTAACTTTTCTGCAGATACACTAATTCTTGTCCAAGTTTTACGGCTGTAATACTTAGGAGTGATTAAATATCTCACCTCCACACTGCCTTCTCTACCCATTTGTATCCTGGGCATTTGCACTACACTGGGAATGGAGGAAAACCACAACACAGCCCCTGCCGCATCCTCCCTGCATGTAGCAGATGTCACTGATATCATCATCTGGCAAGTGCCATCATCCATTGGGCATATTAGATCTTATTTTACCGAGGGCCCCTTCATCTTGTTTTTCAAACCCGTCAGAAGAAACGGGAGTAAACATGACTAAGGCACTTGGTGACTTAGAAATTTAGTGTTCCATTGTTCCAAATGTTCTGAAAATTGCTCTTTATATACCTGCATTATACCTTACTTACACTGCAGAAAACAATTGAGTTGTGTGACTCTTCCTGTCGCTCTGCAGTACAAGGGTCTCCTGCAGATGCTGAGCCTGTGCTGGGGTGGGATTGCTGGCCTGGTTAGAAACAACAAGATGCTGCTAATTGTTTCTAATCAACTATTCTAATAATAATTCTAATTGTGTCTTCTAAACAAGATGTTCAGACCAGGCACATAGCATTGGCCAATACTTTGGCAAAACCAACTTATCAACAGAAAAACTGGTCCAAGAGAGGATTTCCATCCCTGCATATGACATGGCAAAGCTTTTAAATCCCTCTGGGGATGGGGACTCCACCACTGCCCCAGGCAGCTGTTCCAGGGTTGGACAAATCTTTCTGTGAAGAAACTGTTCCTAATTTCCAATCTAAACCTCCCCTGGTGCAACTTGAAGCGTTTTCCTCTTGTCCTGTCACTTGTTACATGGGAGAAGAGACCGACCCCCAGCTGGCTACAACCTCCTTTCAGGTAGTGATTGTTTCTCCACCTGCAGAGAATCCCCAGAGAAAAAGTGATACCCATTTAAGCAACACTGGTGATCCACCTGGTGCCAGTACACATTTATTTGGCTTGACCAACCAGGTCCTGACGAGGAATCCAGCAATACCACGGAATTCCATGGAGGTTGCCACCAGCAAAAGGAGCTGTTGAATGTTCCCACAGTTTCATGCCTAGCAGATGGGGGATGAGCACTTGGATCTACATGAATCACATCGATGCTCATTTCTTCACTGAAATCTTGTTGGAGAGAACAGTAACTGTAACCAGGATCAGTGCTAAACCAGGATCTTTCTCCCAGTACCCAGAGATGTTTAAATCTAGGAGACCTGCATCTAGAAGACTCGGACCCATAGTTATTTAAAGACTGGAACCTACCAAACAGCGCAAAAATAGAGAGAACAACTCTGCTCCAGCCCAGCACCGGATGACAGAGGAGCCAGCCAGACTGACTGTGGCATCCTCAAACCCCGTATGTCTTTCCAGCACCTTTTTACCATGTCCTCCACAAGAGGTCTGCCACCAAGCCAGCGTTCCTACAGTAAGGGAGAAGTTAAGAGACCTTCCTGGAGAGCACAGTATTGCACACAGGGCACTCACCCTTCTCTGTCTATGTGAGGCAACGGGTGTTTGGAGGTGTTTCTCAGCTTCCTGTGAAATTGGGTGAAATCTAGTTTTTCAGGCTGCAAGTCCCACGTCGCACCACTAGGTGAGAAAAACAGGGAAAAAACAAAGAAAGAAAGTCCAGTACTGATTAAACACCACTGAGCTGAAGAGCAGAAGGCACACTGGAGCCTGCAGATGAGGAAAGCTGGTACTTTTGGAAGCACCACTCCCTGCTGCAGAGCACATGGATGTGGGCCTGCAGCCTCCACACTGCTGCACCTCCTTTCTTTTCATTTTTTCTTGTTTTTTGGATATGCTGAGCGCCTGTTGCTTGATGTGAACCCCTAATTTTGATACAGCACACACCTTGAAAGCTATACTTGCTCTACTGTCAAGTGGATATCACAACAGGTAGTGGTCTGGTCCATGCAATGGAGATGTTCTCTCTGGCCCTGCACAGCCTGTCTGCTCCAATGGCCCGGAGCAAGCAGGTGATAACTCAACCCTTGTAGATTCTTCATCTTTCACTGCTTTGCCCATGCTCAAGCACAAGGTAAAGAGCTCTTCCCAGCAGCTAAGAAGCCAACACGTGATTGCACCTCCAACTAATGGAAAAGTAAACTCCTGGAGCAGTATCTCAGAGCTGACTCAAGTCTTGCCTGTGCAGCTCTGAGATGATTACAAGTAATTGCATTGGTACCGGTTTCAGGTGTTTGGACTGCAAATCCATCCAGTGGCCTCTCCAAAGCACAGAGGATGATTTATGTAGATCAGCTGTGCTTAGTGCCACGGGCTAAGTGGGGACGGGGAGGAGGAGCAGCTATGTGAGTACTAACAGTGGTGCCTGGGTACCAGCAGGAGGGGCCTGTGGGCGAAGGCTAAGAGAAGGCACAGTCCATCTAAGAGTCCCTCTCTCTCTTAAAGCATTTTAACACCAGCTTACCTGAAGGAGTCAAAGGTGTTGGCAGCCCAGATGTCTGTGCCCAGCATGTCAAGGTTGCTCTCCTTGTTGCCATTCTAGGAGAGAGGGAAAGGTGGTTACTCACTGGAAGGCATATGGAGCTATCTGGACCATGGCACAGCCCAGCACAGCCTCTCCCAACACCAGCCACAGAGGTGTCCTGGCTCTGCACAGGGGCTCCTATGCTTCCAGGTGAATCCACACTCACTTCAACACAGAGATCCCTCACACGCTGCAAAAGTGCACCCTGAAGGCAAGGAGTGAAACAGTTTCAGCCTTGGGAACACAAAGCTGTGGACAAGGCAGAGCAGACAACACGTAGGCTCAGCTCTGACTCCAGTCCTGTCCTCCTGCCCCACTGTCCACGACCACCATGACTCACCAACCTCCCCTGGGCAGGTTGAGATCCACAGCATCACAGAATCAATTAGGTTGTAAAAGACCTCCAAAATCACTGAGTCCAACCAGTGCCCGACCCCCACCTTGTCCCCCAGCCCAGAGTACTGAGTGACATGTCCAGGAGTTCCTTGGATACCTCCAGGGGTGGGGACTCCATCACCTCCCTGGGCAGCCCATTCCAATGCCTGACCACCCTTTCCAAGAAGAAATTCTTCCTCATGTCCAACCTGACCCTCCTCTGGCACAGCTTGAGGTCGTTTCCCCTTGTCCTGTCCCTTGCTCCCTGGCAGCAGAGCCTGACTTCTCCCAGCTCCCCCCTCCTGTCAGGGAGTTGCAGAGGCAGAAGGTCCCCCCTCAGCCTCCTTTTCTCCACGATGAGCCCCCCCAGCTCCCTCAGACGCTCCTGCTGCTCCAGACCCTTCCCCAGCTCCGTTCCCTTCCCTGCACACGCTCCAGCCCCTCAATGTCTCTCTTGTCTGAAGGTCCAGAACTGCCCCAGCACTGGAGGTGCCTCAGCAGTGCCAGCACAGGGAGGGCACTGCCCTGGCCCTGCTGCCACACCACGGCTGGGACAGCCCCGGGGCCATTGGCCTCTTGCCCCCCTGGCACACCTGGGCTCGTGTCCAGCCGCTGCCACCAGCACCCACAGGGCCTTTCCCAGTTTTCCAACCCCTCTGTCCCAGCCTGGAGCTGCAGGGAGTTAGTGTGACCCAAGGGCAGGACCTGGCACTTTGCCTTGTTGAACTTCATAAAAAAATCACAAATCATAAATCCTCGTAAAATCTCAGCCATGAAGTCTCTCAGCTTCACGGTCACAGACCTTTTGAGGTGGGAAGGGACCTCTGAAGCTCATCTGGTCCAACCCTCTTGCTCAAGCAGGCCCACCTAATATCTCAGAATAGTTCAGGTTGGAAGGGACCTTCAAAGGTCTTCTGGTTCAATCAGGTGCCCAAGATCACATCCAGATGGCTTTTGAATATCTCCAAGGATGGAGATACTCGTCATCATGAGCTCTACCAGAGCTTGCTGTCACCAATAAGGATGGGGAAAGCTACTCTTCTTCTTCAAGGAGTTGTGGTGACATGGTTCTCTTTGCTCTAAGAACAGGTACATTTTTAGATTATTTAAGCATTTCAGCCCAAATGGTCCCGCTCTGGTAAAAAACCCCACATCTTAGAGAAGATGGATTCCATATATTCCCCATTGTATAATTTCTGTCATTTTCAAATATTATTAGTAATAACCAAGACACTAAACACTCATAAAAATTTGATAATTTATTAATAAAGTCCCAGACCTCAATCTACCCACAAAATGAGCAACATTTCCCCAACCAGTGTCAGGACACACATCCCCAGGGAACACTACAGATGGTCACACTTTGCAGCCATTCCCAGCACAACAGCGAATTTAGACATCACATACTCCAAACACAGCCAAATTGCTCCCTTTTTATTCTCCTCCAAGGGGTTTATGGATTACGATTTTAACCTCTGTGGATCTGCAAGTTGACATATCTCTGCTCAGAAACAAACCGCCAGAAATACATCAAACTCTCGTGATCAGTTACGGAAGCTGAGCTTTTTATTTTAGGCAAATGTAAGCACGATTTTCTCCCACTATAGAGAGAAATTAGTTTCCTAAATCCTTACAAGCATCCAAATGCAGTATAATGAGAACACACATGTGCAGGCCTTCCTAGCTGTCACACAAAGAAGAGATACCTCTTCTTGCAGACAAATCCATCTCAAGTGATAAGGAGGTCAGACAGGTCCAAGCTTCTAGGCAGCAGTTGGTGCTCTCACCCAAAACTTCCTCTGAGAAGATGTCCCCATAACCTCTCAGAGGCACTCTAAGCATTAACCAGACTCCATACAGACGGCGCCAGGGTCCCAATAACACACCTTGTCATTAAGTCCTGAGTCACTATGGCCATTTTGAGACACCCCTTAGGTCTTCGACTACCTGTCTCTAGAACCAGTTTCTGTCTCGACTCACAGGACAGGCAGCATCCTTGCTGCCCTGTGCTGCAGGTCGTTTACTAAAATGCTCACAGCATGCCAAGACTTAATAATAAGACTTCAAAAAGCTGATTCTCAAGCCTAGGTACAAAAAAAGAGAAAAAAACCTGCATGTATTTACGAAAAGAAGTGACTTGTTGTCAGTCCCCCCAGGACTGCAATTACAACCCTCAGCAGTTTTAACGTGAAGCTCCCCATGACCCAACCCTCAGCTTTAGATAATCATTTTCACCGCGAAGGAGTCAGTGCCACTGAAAATTAATTAACCAGGAATGATGAACGAGAGACACGCTGACAAGAATAACACCAATGCTACTCAGAGAGATGAGAGATCCGGTGAAGCAGACCCTACAGGCAGTGAGGTTTAAACACACGTCCACAACCTCTGTCCTCCAGCCCCTGTGAGCTCACGTCACCTCCGTCCACCGCTGCCCAGCTGCCAGCACAAACAGGGACGGCCCCACGTGGACTCTGGCCTGTTTACCATGCATGCAGCTTCAGCAAATTCCCCACAAAGTCAGCATTTGCATGCACGCAGCAGCTTCCCAAAGCCCAGCTCAGCGTCCCACCTCTCGCCGCTCCTCATCACCGTCCTCCAGAAAGCAAACACAAAGTCATGCCCTTTGCTGCACGGCTGTGTTAGCTCATCGCTGCAGAACAACACCAGGTGGTCGCCTGAGTCCGTGGTATAAACCAGGGATTACCCTGTGCCAGGTGTTACTTCTTAAGTGTTTTTCGGTTCTAAGTTTGAGGAGCTTCCCCCACCCTTCCTGCTCTTCTGCTGCCCACAACCCCTTGGATGCACTTTGGTAGGGAACAAAAAGGATGGATAGATGCTGAACTGTCTTGAAAAGGCTCCGATGAAAGGTTTCTTTGTTGAAAACTTCAAGCTCTCGTAAGAAAAATACAGATAAAAATATAGACATTTTGAGGAAGACAGTATTATTCCTGCTCAAAGAAGGAAGGATATGCTGAGTCTCACTCCTTCCCACCAGAAAGGACCTCCACTTCCCAGCAGCAGTCAGGTCCTGTGGGTCCTCTCCCACCACAGCATCAGGGGGACAGACTGGTTTCCTTAAGCTCTCCAGAAGGATGAGATGGATGAACAGACCAGGACTTTGACCACTGGTTCCAAACCTCCCAGAGTCTGCCCTTCACTTCTGGCATAACCAGTACTCCCGTGCACATAAGTAGAGAAACTCCAAGAGAAAAAAGGACAGAGGCTGATTGAAACAAACAGGAATGGTCAGGGTCTGAGTTCAAGGATGAGCCTAAAATGATGAAAGTGAATTCTTACAGTCTTTTGCAGGGTAAGTAGGAAGGTGACTTCCCATCTAGCCCTATAGACAGCTCACACAGAAAGCAGTTGCATTCAAGGTTACCATTCAACACCATCTATTGGTATCCACTAATCTATCAACTTCTAATGAAGACTTGTCAGCAAATAATTACAGACATCTCTTAATATCCCAAAATTTAAATACTCCAAGACTTCAAATAAATTAAAAAACCCCTGACTTGCTTTGCACTAAACCAGTTGACTAAGGAACTTCTTTCCCAATACTAAGGCACTCAGCACACCTCAACAGGTCACACATTATGACTGAATTAATTAGGTCTTTGAAGTGCTCTTCAAAACTGACATGCACCCACACCTGTGTGTGACACACACAACAAACATGTCGTGGGGAGGATGCCTCCAATAAGCAGCAAGCAAGGGACACAACTTCAGCACAGCACTACCAGATATACCTTGGT